GGACCTGTCACATAGCACCTGAGACCTCAGTGCCAGGACAGACCTCTGAATTCCTGCCCAACATGCAGAATGAGTGGAAGGAAAGTCCTGGAGAGACCCTGGGTGCTGGGCATTTGCAGTCATCTGAGCAGGTGGCAATACCCCTGGTTGTCCCTCCTGTCATGGCAGAGGAAGATGTAGGCTCCTGTTTGGGGACAGGAGTCCAGAACTCTCAGGCCCCTTTGCTGATGCACATGGCATTGCTGAAGATGTAGAGTAAGTCAGCATCATAAGGGCCACAACAGAACACCAGTGTGCAGCAGGAGAGTTCCTGGGGACAAATCAATGAGCCAGGGATCAAAAGAATTCATCAAACCGAGACAGAATTAACGAGACACAGGCCCCTGGACAGAGTGATCACAGGTGCAATTCAGAGAAGTGAGAGAAAGGTCTGGGACAGGGGCAGGGCACATGAAGTCTCTGGATTCCATCTCCAGAAGTAAAAGGGAGTAATAATTTGGACTTATAGAATAAAACTAACTTAAAACCAATGTATGCCTATACCTCCAAACCTGAGCTAATGAATAAATTCTCAGGAAGGCATAAGATGACAATATACCAAAAGGATAACTTGGGAGTGGGGGCTCAGTGGGTAAAATGTTTGTTGTGCAGGTATGAGGACCTGGATTTGGATTCCCAGGACCCATGTAAAAAAAGCGGAGTGTGGCAATGCATGTCTGTAATCCCAAGGCTGGGAAGAAGAGACAGGAGGATCCCAGGGGCTCACTGACAAGCCAGTCTAGCCAAATCAGTGAGCTCCAAGTTCATGAAAAACCCTTTCTCAAAAAATTTGATGGACAGCCGTGGAGGAGGACTCTTAACATTGACCTCCACGCATACACACACACAGGCACATATACGGTTGCCAAAGGATTGGTCCAAGAACAAGAAGAGAATTAAGTTGGCCAGTCACATTTCCAGACCTGGAGAGGGTCAAGGTGAGCCTCAAATCATCTGACTCTGGTGGGAAAGCTATGCCAAATGTCAGAAAAGAATTGATTATTATTATTATGGGGCTGAAGAGATGGCTCAGTGGTTAAGAGCACTGACTGCTCTTGCAGAGGACCCAGGTTTGATTCCTAGCACCCACATGGTGGCTATGAACCGTCCTTAGCTCCAGTTCCAGGGGAATCCGACGCCCTCTTCTGACTTAGGCAGCATCGCACGGCATGGGTGCATTCAGATTCATTCAGGCAACACACTCATACACATAAAACATAAAGAATAAAGTACTTTAGAAAAAGAATTATGATCTTATACAAGTTATAGGGGAGAGGAGAAGAGGAAGAAGGAGCTGCTAAGTGAGCTATTTAATAAGTGCTGTTTCCATTATAAAAAGCAGATAAGGCAGGACAATAAAAGAAAATTATGAGCACAGATAGAAACTAAAGTACTTGCTGGCTAAATCCAGCAGGATTAAAATAATGATATTAGCTCACCACCAGGAAGTTCACCCCAGAAAAGTAGCAACAACAGAAAACCTGCCAGTGTAACTGCCTCCGTAGGTCAAAGGGGTAAAACTCATCAGCATTCATGAAGACCAGTGCAGACAAAGCTCTTTGACAAGGTCCTTATGTCTTTGTGGTTTTGAAAAATCACTCCCAAACTAGGCATGGAAGAGAAGTACTTTTTAAAAATGATTAATTAATTGATTAATTTATTTATTTTTGGTCTTTTTGAGACAGGGTCTCCTTGTAGCCCCAGCTGGCCTGGAACTCACTATGCAGACCAGGCTGGCCTTGAATTCACAAGATCCTCCGGTCTCTCCTCCCAAGTGCTGGGATTAAAAGGGCGTGCCACCATGCCTGGCTGGAAGAGAAGCACTTTAATCTAGTGGAACTTTTCATACCAAAAACCTACAGAAAATATTCACGGTGGGGAAAATGTATGTGTCTTACAAGGTTAGCCAGAGACAAAACCAGGTACTATGGCTGCAGTGATGTTGGTGTGAGAGAGCCAGAAGTCAGCAAAGGAAGGAGATGTCACTGTGGAAGGGGAGGGATGAGGTCACCATTTTCTATAGAGGGTGTGATCATTTACCTTGAAAAGCTGGCCAAATCAATGAATAGAATACTTAATGGGAATTCAGCAATGTTCCTGGGTGCACAATCACCAACAAAAACCAATGATATTTTTACTTCAGCAGTAACTAACCAGGAATACTCAATGTTAGGTCAAATAGGAGGATTTCTATGTATTACATAAGGGTTAAAACAGTACTTATGAGCTGGGCATGGTGGTGCACGCCTTTAATCTCAGCACTTGGGAGGCAGAGGCAGGCAGATCTCTGTGATTTCGAGGCCAGCCTGGTCCACATAGTTCCAGGACAGCTGAGGCTACAGGGAGACCCTGTCTCAAAAAGACCAAAAAAAAAAAAAAAAAAACAAACAAACCCGAAAACAAAAACAGTAGTTACATAACAGTGTATGTATGCATGTACTATCAGGCTTCAAATTTTGTGAACTAAATTTACAAATAGAGCCCAGGACACATTTGGTAGCTTCAGATGTCACGAAGGATCCAGCCTCCTCCTTTTTAAAAAAGTGAATTTATTTATTTTTATTTTATATGTGTGTTTTGCCTGCATCTAAGTGCACTCACACATGCAATGCCCATAGAGGCCAAAAGAGGGCATCAGATTCCCCTAGAACTGGAGGTACTGATGGCTGTCAGCCACCATGTGGGTGCTGGGAACTGAACCTGGGTCCAGTACTTGTAACTGCTGAGCCCCCAGCCTCTTTCTCTTGTCTTTTAAAAATTATTTTATTATTTTTATTTTATGTGTATGAGTGTATTGCCTGCATGTATGTAAGTGCACCCATGTCATGCAATGCCCACAGAGATCAGAAGAGGGCGTCAGATCCCCTGAAACTGGAGTTATAGACAGTTGTTAGTCACCATATGCATGGTGGGTCAAACCTGGGTCCTCGCAAGAAAAGTCAGTCTTTTAACTGCTGAGGCATCTCTCCAGCTTCCACCTTTTGTCTTTGTTTTTTGTTTGTTTTGGTTTTTTGTTTTCAGACAGGGTCTCTCTATGTAACCCAGGCTAACCCCAAACTTACTCTCCTCCTTCCTCAGCCTCGCAGTGCTGAGATGACAGGCTCCTGCACCTGACCCCCATCACCTTCCTTAGTTCTCCTTTATCTTCCTCTGCACATGAGGTCCATCTTCAAGGTACCCTCATGGTCCAAGATGGCTGCCAAACTCTACCGTCACATCTGCATTATTGACCAGAGAAGCAAGAAGGGAAAAGGATTTCTGGCAGGAATCGTCCCAGAATTTGCACCAGACGCTTTTGCTTGTATCTCTGGAACCTAGCTGCACAGCCTGGCTGCCAAGCTGAGTGAATCATCAGCATCTTAAACTCAGGGCTTGCTGGTGCTAGAAGGAGGGAAGAATGCACAGGATGGACGTGATGCAGGTTAGCTACAGACCTCAGCCTCCAAAGGAGGGAACTGAGGCCCAGAGAGGGTAGGGCAAGTCCACTCCGCTGCAGAGCAATCAAACAGCAAAGGTTTTATGTGGCTCAGTTTTGACCGTCCTGCAAATCACTGCCTGTGCCAGCTATGAAACCTGGCTGCTCCTCACTCCCTACCTGCCTGAAGGATCTGTGTCCCGTTCTTCTGTTCCCACTACCTAATGAAACGACTGTGAGCTCTTCCTCCAATCTCTCCAGCATCATGCCCCAGTGTGGCATAGCCTAGACTTGGAAAACATGAAGAACTCAGGTGGAGAACTACAAACCGCAAGTGGCCCAAGAGGATTATACCCTCCCTCCCATAGGCCCCAGTGCTGGCCTTAACTGAGACAGGTTTCATGGCCCTACTTTCCAGAGGAAGGTCTTACACCTGAAGTGTTAGGCCTAGCCCATGTGAGCGGAAGTGGCATCCAGGTTCCCCACTTTTTTGTTTTCTTTTGAGACAGTGTCTTGCTTTGTAGCCCAGGCTAGCTTCCTGGGACTCTGATCACAGATATCTTCTACCACATTCGGTGAAGGTGATGGGAGTCACAGCCTTCTCCAGGCATCCCAACTGGTGTTTGTTTCTTTTCATTTGATTATTTTAAGACAGGATCTTGTGTAGGGAGTCTAACCTAAGACTCACTGTGTAGCCAAGGACAGCCTTGAACTTCTGATCCTCCTGCTTTCATCACCCAAGTGCTAGGATTACAGGTGTGTACCACCACACCCGGTTTATGCAGTGGTTGAGTAGAATCCAGGGCTTTGTGCATGCCAGGGAATCACTCTACCAACTGTACCACACCCCTAGCCCCCAAAGCCCATTTCTTTACAACCCCAACATCCATTGCTGAGACCTTAGTGATGTCCCCTACACTCAATAGCTAAGACCGTGGGAATACCCCATAGTCTTGGTGTGGGAACTATGTTTCATTTTCCACATAGTCCCATACTGTCCACTGTCCAGAATGCCCAGGCCCACCAGGCACCTTCTGTTCTCAAAGAAGGGTTGCTACACTAGGCCCTGCCTCGGGTCATTTGAACATGCTATTCCCTCTGTCTGGAACATTCTATCCTCCAAGCCCTTCTTCTTGCCTTTCAGAAATGACATCTCCCTCAGAAGGCTGTACCCATTCTTAGTCTGAACAAGGAAGCCTCAGTATCCCCAGAGTTCTACCAGTTTTCTCAGTGCTGTTCCATTCCCTGGGATCTGGTCCCTCGGTCTGTGCTGTGTCTCCAGTCCTGCAGAGCCCTGCAGAGTTGGTGGAATTCAACAAAGAGAATTTGGCTTAAGCAGATCAGCAGAGCCCAGCAAGTGCCTGTACACATTAAGCCTAGCAAGTGCCTGCACACAGTAGGCCCAGTCTGCTCAGGCTTGTTCACTCTAGGCCTTGGGAGTCCAGGAGGTAGGATAGGGAGGCAGTGGTTGCCAAGAGCAGACAGGCCGCCCGGGGGAGCTCTGCTCCAGGTCACACCCACCTCTGGGTGACTGCCAGTCTCTGTGCCAGAAACCGCAGCCTGGGCCAAGGCTGCCTGGAGTTCGGACCACAGGGCTCAGGAGGCTGTGGGTCAGAACTGCAAAGGGGTATTTGTTGAATACTTCTGGTCTCCGCAGGCCCCTGGTGTGGGACAGGGGTCCCAGCAGGACTGCAGCTGCTGTGGCGGTGACTTGGACAGGAGCCTTTTCTTGCTGGGAGGAACTGGGAGGTGCCTGCCTTCCTGTGACCAGCTCTTGGCACTGGCACTGGCTCCAGCTTCACACACCATCAGACACCCTCTGGGTGGCCTCCACGGTCTCACCTTCAGGTAACTCCTCACTGGGACCATGAGGATGGAAAGAAAGTGGGAGATATACTCTCTCTCTCTCTCTCTTTCTTTCTCTCTCTCTCTCTCTCTCTCTCTCTCGGGGGGGGGTTGGAGTTACCTCATAACCTCTAAAACATAAAGACTCAGGTTCTGCCTCCCAGGTTTGAAGCTGGCTCTGCAGGGGACACGGTGACATGAGGGGTGTCCTACAGACCCATCTTCTGGCCATCCCCCTCCTCTGTCTTCTCTCAAAGGTAAGGAACCAGGCCTTAAAATGATGGCAGACTTCTGGGTGGTGGAATGGATGGATGGTCATAGTTCAGGACCCTTGGCAGGACCCTATACCGAGCACAGTCTGGTTTCTGTGCCCAGGCTTGCTTTCCTCTCAGGTCCCAGACAGCTGGCTAGTTTTGCTGTGTGACCTTAGGCAAGTACCATTCCCACTCTGAGCTTTGCCTCATTGCTGAGAATTGCTCTGCAATACATAGCATGGGCCCTGGCTCCAGACGAGTGTCCAAAAGAGACACTGATGATTATTAGTCAGCCCTGTGCTCCTCTCCAGGCAGGAGCTGGTCTCCCTCAAATAAACTAGGAGATCAAATATAAGCTTTGCATAACTCTGATCCAGGATGGGAATGGATAGTGGGGTCCAACTGATTGCAAAGTATGTTCTGCAAGGCCACTGTGTGCTGGCCTCAGGCAGCTAGTGACCCTCTGATCCTGGTGAGAGAGGACAGGAGACACCTCTGTGATGCCTGAATGGCCTTGTCCCTCAGTGCCACATGGAACATTTTCAAAGGGTTTGTGGGGAATTCCACCTTGCCTTACATGCACAACAATCTTATAAGGATCTGTCCTCAGTTTTAGCCAAGTGAGACTCAGAGAGGGTAAGCAACGTGTCCAAAGCCACACAGCAAAGAAATAGAACAAAAGTAGAGGGCGTGATGGTGCCTAGAGCAGACCTTGGTGGGGACACCAACCTATGTTTCTCTTCCCAACCTGGACCATGCTTCACAGTAAATGCTGAGTTCCCAGAGTCACAGAGATTGGCTCTGGAGCCAACAGAGTGTACTACAAACCTCCCCAGGTCCAAGAGGTCTGGCTGGGAAGGCTGGGGACCAGCTAGGCCCTGTCTTTCTGCTTTTCCTTAGGGGCTGGGCAGAACAAGATGCTGGGGTGGGTGGCTTAGGTAGTATGAGTCGGGGCCCTGGGATCCTGGGAGGAGGAAGGGACCAGGCTTCTTAGAGGCCTAGGTAGGGCTGCTCTAGACTCATCAGTGGAGTGATACCCATAGGGACCATTCCTCCCCAGTCCCGGGAAGTCAATTAGCATCCTCCATAGAAACCCAGGGACTTAGTCACCCAGAGCTTGTGAAACTGTGCCCATCTTGGGGGAGAAAATTCCAAGTCTTCTAAGCAGGCTGTGGGCCACTGGCTCTGAATTGGGACAGCGACAGGGACAGGAGCAGGACACACTGAAGACCTGTTGACCAGGAGCTGGCAGTGGCCACACTCATAACTGGTTATCACTCCGAGGACTCTACACAGCTGTCAGAGGAGGAAGCTGAGCTCCCTCCGTATCATGAAGCTGGTGGCCGCCAGTACAGCATCGCTTCCCGTGGCCATGGCAGAGATCTGAGGACCAAGGCAATGGGAGAACTTCGATATGCAAACACAGTGGCTGGGAAGGGTGTGGGAGACGAGGGAGGCCAGACAGGGCTTATCTTTACTCGGTTAGGTGAGAACACTTCCCTGACTTGTCATTGTCCTTGAGCAAATGGGTAAACTGAGGCAGAAGCTCATCAGGCAACAGAGCCCTTGGAGGACAAGGGGTAGACAATAGAAATTAGGAGCTTGGGCTCCAGGTTTCTGCGAACTGGTCCTGCCCCATCTCTTGCCAGCTGTTCTCCCATCATTGTTTGAGGGTTTGTTTTGAGACACGATGTCACTCTGTAGCTCAGGCTATACCTTTGAACTCCAGGCAATTCTCCTGCCTCAGTCTTCCAAGTGTTGTTTCATTGTCTTTAAAACATACAAGCTGCCCGCACCTTACAGCAGAGGGCTGACAGGACAGCTTGCCCACAGCATGCACAGCGTAACAGGTGTCCTCAGCGGGTTCTCCTGGGGTCAAAACCTGGAGAAGCCAGAATAGTCATGCTTACTGGGTCAAAGGCCCACAGAGGGACCCCAAGGCTCAGCAGAAGGTCTGTTTTCTGCTTAGCCAGTTCTGGTCTGCCAAGGGAGCCGAACCTGTGCTTTGGAGGGGAAGCTGAAATTCCTGCCTTTTCCCTCTCAGGTCAACTCTGTGACTAACCCTAGAATATATTGTTACACAGGAGGCTTTGAGAGTTGAAATGAGTTCGTAACAAGCTTCCAGGGGCTGCTGGGCTGCTGGTCCAGAAGAGCCTCTAGTACTCAAAATTCTGCAGAGAACACTGCTTTAATTAGAAGCTTGCCTACACCGTCTTCTGTTGTTGGTCACTATGGTCAGCCAGGGTGAGGCGGCCCCTGCTGGTCAGAACGAGAACTGCAGGCACTGGAAAGCAGTTTTTCAGGACTGAGAGTCCCAGGGGTTGGGCAGGATGGGCACTGTGGTAAGGGGTCATTGCCTCTTTGGGTCACATCGGAGAGTGGAAATGTTTAGTTTCCTCTTCCTAAATCACAAATCTAGACAAAGTTTTCTAGTCCTGCTAGCGAGTGATCCTCCACTGATGGTCGTGGGGTACGTGAATGATATCTCCCCCTTGGTCTCCACCCTCACGGGGAGCCCTTGGCTTCTGGTGGTTGGCTTGAGTGTTTCTCTCTCCTGGGTTGGAAGGGAAGTTGTGTCATTGGAGTGAAGCCTTGGCCCCCCACTGGGAACTGGGCCCCTGGCTTAGGCTTTCCCTGTTATAGGAGAAGTCTACCTCTCTGGGGCCCTGAGTCCCCATCAGAGAGGTAGACTTGGCACAGCTCCCAGCTCTGGCTGTGGGTGAACACCTTCCGTCGATGGAGCCAGTGTCTCATCTGTGCATTGTGGGTGACAGAGGGGTGGGTTGGGCTAGGGGGATGGGAACCTAGCTATACTTTAGAAGCTTCTAGGTAGCTTGTTAAACATAGACTATTGCTCCTGCCTCTGTGACCTCCAGTTTGGTGAGGCTAGAGGAGGCTGGGGGATCTGTATTTTCCTTTTTCCTGGCTAATTTGATGCACGCTCTGGGCTGGGAAACATGTTGGGTTATTTCAAAGGCCAAGAACACCCGTGAATGATTGAGTTCTTCAGCCTGAAGGGAAGAATCACACAGGGAAACTGTTCCTCCTGCTGGTCGTCTTGATCCTTGGCTGTTACTCACGGCTCCTGTAGCTCTTAGGGATCAGGGGTCACCTTTACTGTAACTGATGAAGATGACCACCAGAGAAAACCACTTGAGGGGGCTCAGTGGGTAAAATGCTCGCTGTGCAAACATGAGGATCTGAATTCAATCCCCAACATCTTCATAAAAGCCAGACACACTGGCACACAGCTACAACCCTAAACGCTGAAGCACAGAGACAGGTGGATGCCCAGAGCTCACTGGACAGGCAGCCTAGCCAATCGGTGAACCCCAGGCTCAGTGAGAGACCCTGTCCCAAAAAAACTAAGGTGGAGGGTGATAGAGTCAGCCACCTGACATTGATCTTGGCCCTCTACATGCATGTACACACATGTGTGCACCTGCACATACATATAAATACACAGAGGCACACACACAAAAGGGCTAACCTCATGGAGCACCTCCTCCATGCACTTAGGGTTTGAGGGCATCATTTCCTACCCTCATTTTACAAATGAGGTTCAGAGAGCTCAAGGAACTTGACCAAGGTCACTCAGCAAGGGGCAGAGCTAGAACTGAAACTCTGATCTGGGGTCCTTGCTCATGACCACGGTGCCATTCTGCCTCTTAATGAGTACCTGGGATGGCCAAGGTTCAAGGCCAGGTCTGGGCTACCCTGAAGCCACGCAAAGGTCCCACACTGCCCAGCCTGGCAGAGATGTGGCCACCTGTGAGCATCTCACCACTCTCCTTGACAGCTATGGCTGAGTGAGGTCTCTGTCTCCTCAGGTGTGTACGCAGCTGTGCCCAACACCCTGTGCCTGTCCCTGGATGCCACCCCAGTGCCCTCGAGGGGTGCCCCTGGTGCTGGATGGCTGTGGCTGCTGTCGAGTATGTGCACGGCGACTGGGGGAGTCCTGCGACCACCTGTATGTCTGTGACACCAGCCAGGGCCTGGTCTGTCAGCCCGGGGCAGGTCCTGGTGGCCGAGGGGCCGTGTGCCTCTGTAAGCAGGTTTGAGGGACACGTGGAGGGGTGTGTGGGGAGGCAAGGCCATAGGGTCTGGAGTCAAAGTGTTCTGTGGAATCTATGTCCCTCTCACACTCACTTCAAGTACTCTGTTTATTCGGCTCAATGATAATCCATGGTTTTCTGGGCCCATTCCCTTCTTCCCCCTTGGCCTCTGCTTCTCAGATTGCCTCATCACCCCAATAGTCCTTCCCATTCCTACCCATCCAAATCACAACTGACTTCCAAAGTCAAGGCAAACAGCCCCACTCCTGAGAGAAGCACTCTTCAGACCCTCTGAGGACCCTTACAGCCCTGAGGAGAGTGCAGGCCCTGTGCAGGGCATGGTGTATATCAGGAAAGGTGTTAAACTCTGAGTATCCCTTATAGCTCTGTCATACAAATCCTACAAACAGGGAAACTGACTTAGAAATATTAGCTGGCATGCTCTATGCCTCACATCCCAACCAGTTTCCAACAGATCTAAGTAACAATCCACTCTGTCCCTTCCCAGGCTGGGAGCCTTTGACCAGAGTGTGAACCCCAGTGGCTTTGGGCATGGGACATTCCTCACCACTCTCTCAGGCCTTGGTGTTTTCTGACACTTTAGGGCAGGGCTTGGCAACTGTGTGCCAGGGCTACAGTTGTTGAGTGGCTCTGCAGGACAGGTAGCTGATCCTTTTCTGCCTGTGAGATGCTAGGGCAGCTGCTAGCCCCTAGCGATGACCTCACAAGTGTGACAAAGAGCAAAGCCATCCCCCTAGTTGAGAACTACTTCAGAGGAATTGGGAAGTCTATTTGTGTTTACAATTCACCCCTTTCCTCTAAGTGTGCTTTATACTTCAACAAAAATGAGAGAGAGAGAGAGAGAGAGAGAGAGAGAGAGAGAGAGAGAAAGAGAGAGAGAGAGAGAGAGAGAGAGAGAGAGAGAGAGAGACTCATGAATCATTGATAATGAACCCACCAATAGAAAAAGCCTTGTCAGGCAGAGGCAGGCAGATCTCTGTGAGTTCAAGGCCAGCCTGGTCTACATAGTGAGTTCCAGGCTAGCTGTGGGGAGACCCTGTCTCAAAAAGACCAAAATCCCAAAATCAAACAAATAAACAAAGCTTGCTGGGCATGGTGGCAGATGGAGGCAGATCTCTTTCAGTTCAAGGCCAGCCTGATGTACATAGCTAGTTACAGGTCAGCCAGGGCTACATAGTGAGACCTTGTCTCAAAAATACAAAACAGCAACAACAATAAAACAGCACCACCCCCTCCCGAAAAAAACCCACAAAAATAACCAAAGCTTATCCAACAGTAAACCCTTTATTTGCTGGGAGAAGCAGAGATGGGGAAAGGGTACTTATTAGACAAGCTCACAGCGATGCCAATGAAAACATGTCTAAAGATCTGAGGGCTAGGGTTGGGCTTGGTGGGTACAGGGCTTGTCTATCATGCACAAAGCCCTGGGTTTGATTCCCCAGCACACATAAGCCAAGCAGGGTGGTACATGCCTGTAATCCCAGTACTTGGGCTACGGAGGATCAGAAGTTCAAGATCATCCTTGGCTACATATAGTGTGTTCAAGGCCTCCAGCCTCAGAAACAACACACTGGAGATTCTGAGGTCAGTAGCACTAGGGTTTGGAGTCACTGTGGCATGCACAGTGCACTCAAAGGAGTTTATTTACTGAATTCTCTGCATGAACTTCAGTTGGCATCAGGCACCGAGGGCTTCACAAATATCAACCACATGAGGCAGGTATGAATGTGACTTCTGTGTTATACACAGAGAGGCTAATTACTTTGCCTAAGGTCACACAGCTCACAATGGCTGAGTCAGGATTTGAACTCAGGGAGCCAGCTCCATCCTGCTACTGCCTGACTGTGACCCACACATAGTGGCTGTTATTGTCAATGACTTTTCTAAAGGGCTCGTCTCATACCATCTTGACTCAGACTTCAAACACATGCAGGCTCTGGATTTACTCAGTCCTCAGTACTCCCCGCAGCTTCCAGCCTTGGGTAACTCATGGTCGGTGCTGCTGTACGTTTATGACTTGAACTGAGTTTTGGGGCTGTGATTGGTGGTCTCCATAGGAGAGTCAGAGTCCAGCTCGGGCTCCAGAGAGTATTCAGGGTACAACTAGCTCCTGCCGCTTTCTTGGCTCTGAGGTCCTACTTTGCAAAGTTCACAGAGGCCATACCAGCAAGTCCAGCACATGGACCTGCAGCTTCCTGGTCAGCAGAGGACACCTCTGTGTTTGCTCAGGCCCAGGCCCTCGGAGTCCAGCTTAACACTCTCACTTACACATACCATGTGCATCATAAATTCCTCCAACATTCCCAGAACCCAATCATGCCCAGTCTGTCCTCCCCGCAGAGCTGTCATCCTGGGTCTGCAGCAGCCCTGCACCAGTCTGCTGCCCAGCCCTGGCCTTCTTATCTGTTAACACTACAGTCCACAAGGACCACGTAAGTCAGCTCATACCCACTCATCTGCCTCAGCATCCCACAACTTCCCACATCCTCAAGAGTAGAGCCAAAATCCTCACAGGGGCCCTTGGGACAGGATCTTGCTCATTTTCTGCTCTGACCTCATTACCTCCACCTTTGCCTCCTGTTCTCTACACTAGCCACATTGGTCTTGAATGCCCTAGTCATGCTCTCAACCCCAGGGCCTTTGCACTGGCCATTTCCCTCCTCTCATTCTTTCCCTCCAGATATCTGTGTGGCAGGTTCACTTCTTCCCCTGCCTGCTCACACGCTATTTCTGCAGTGAAGCCTTTGCTGATCGCCATATTAAAAATGCCTCAAGTCCTTAATCTCTTTTATTTCTCTAGTCCTGGTCACCAACCAACACAACCTCTGCGTGTTGGCTATGTTTATTTCCACTGGAGTGAACACTCCAGAGGAACGGGATGTTTGCTTGCTTATCCTTGTATCTTAGGCCACAGTAGGTGCTCAGCAAGTATTTGCAGCATTGTGTGGGTAATATCAGAAGTTCAGGTGGGGCTGGTAGTAACAGGAGTTCTTTCTTGAACAAGTCTTTTATAGGCCAATTTCTCTTTAGCCTTAATATTGAGGTACGTCCTAATATTATTGCTAATTTACAGACAAGGAAACTGGGTTCAGAGAGGTTAAGTCACATGCCTAGGTCACACAGCTTGCAAGTGGTGGAAGGGAAAAACAATCATAACCCTGTGATTCTTGCCCTAGCAAATGACTTCCAGAGGGGAAGGACGGAGGACTCAGAGATTCCCCAGATGCCAAGCCTGTGGCTCATGTCCGGGGAAGGCTAGAGAACTAAAAGGAAGGCTGGTGTCATGTGGGAGAGGTTGCTAGAGGAAGGGACCCTGGAGAGGGCATAGAAGAGGAGAATTTTGGCTGAGTAGGGGAATTCCCAAGGGTGCTGGTGGGGGTGTGGCTTGCCTCTCAGGATGATGTATGCCATCTTGCTGGTGGACGGACTGCTCAGCCCCTCCCTCCACCCCCAAACCCAGCCAGCTCCCAGCTGATGGCCTGTGAGGTGCCAGGAACTCTTGCTAAAATTATCAGCCTCCAGCTGATTTTCCTACACAAGCCTGTGTTTACCAGGCTATCCTGGTGACCTGGGGGCCCAAAGCTGGGGCAGCAGAAGTCAAGTGGGGAGGGGAGGAGAGGTCCAGGCATGGCCAGGGCCAGGCTGGCGATTAAGGCCCAGCTGCCCTTGTGGTTTCTAGGGAGCCATCAGCCACATGGTTCAAACCTGAAGGTCAGGCATTTTGGATCCAAGGGCTGTGATCCCGAAGCAGCAGGGACAGGGAACTGATAGGGTTGTCCTTCTTGGAGAAATAAGCAGGGTCCAAGGTGTTTATGGAGCCTCTGAATGAATGTACCAGGCTTGAAGCAAGTCACCACAGCTGTGCTGGCTCACATGCTCCCCAGGGGCTCCAGGTGCCAGGCACCAAGGCTCAGAGAGGCAGGGATGTGGCAGTTAGGGTAGATCTCGGGCACAGGGTGGTTCCAGAATGCTTCAGTGAGTTTGGACTTCCTGGAAGGAACTGCTTGCCATGAGTTCTTTCCCCAGCCCTACCTGTCACCTGGGTCCCCAGGAAGACCCCCTTCCCCAGCTCACCGGTGCACAGGGCTCTTTATTCTAACTTGAATGTAGTGACTTTTATAAAGGTCTGTTCCCCCTGAACCCAAAGTCCCTTGAGGCAAAATTGCAATTTACGTGTTTCCATTTCTGGGAGCCTAGTGGCTGGTATGCATGATTACAAGGGGTTATAAGGAGGTGAAGCTCTTTTATCAGAATCTTTTCTTGGCCAAGCCTCACGCCAGGCATTCATTTTGAAAGGCATTTCCTGGGGTTCTATGCATGCTATCCATCCTCTGAGCCAGCACAGGGGATGCCAGGAGGAGCACCCTGGGCTCCAGCCCTCCTGGAGGCAGAGCCACGAGGGCCCTCATCTTGAGAGTGTCACTCTGTGTTTTCTGGATACCTTGTATGTACCTGGTACTGTGCTAGGACTCTGCAGATTATCGCAAGGAACAAGGGCACAAGTTGCTGTTATGGCTGCTGGTGGCTAGGTCTCTTATAGAGGTCACAGAGCTAGCAAGTCAAGCTGTCCTGACAGGACTCCACATAGCAGGAGGACAGTGAGGCTGCTGCAAGAAACCCCAGTCAAAGTGTGCACTTAATAACTAAATACTAAATATTGGGGGCTGGAGAGAAGGCTCAGCAGTTAAGATCACTGACTGTTCATGCAGAAGACCTGGGTTCGAATCCCAGCACCCACATGGCAGCTAACAACTGTCCGTAACTCCAGTTCCAGGGGATCCGACTACCTCTTCTGTCCTCCACGGGCATTGCACTACACAAGTGCACTTACTTACATGCAGACATAACACTCATACACATAAAATAAAAATAATAAAATATTTTTAAAAATACTAAATATTGCTAATCTCTACCCAGGCTGGCCTCGAACTCCCTACATGGTCAAGGATCACCTTGAACTTAGGATCTTCCTGCCACTATCTCCCAATTGCTGGGATTACAGGCATGTGCCACCAAGCACGCCATCACAATGGGTTTATGCAATGCTGGGAATGACCTCAAGGCCTTCTGCATGCTATGCAAGCATTCTATCAACTGAGCTATACCCCTAGCCCAAGGCTTCCATTGTTTTCAGATTTATTACACATATAATTTCATCTAGTCTATGGTACCCTGTGAAATAAGTACCAATATATCCCATTTTTCAGATGGGGGAGACTGAGACAAGAAGTGAAATAATTTGATCCATAGCTAAGAAAGCACAGAGCTAGGACCCATGCCAGGGTGCTTCTCTGCCTCCTGGGCAGTGAGAAGGCAGGCCAGAGGGGTGAGGGTCGGGGGGCAGAGTTGGGATGGGACAAGGTGCTTGTCCAGTGCTTTGACCCCAAGTCCTAGAGCTGGTCCACTGTCTCCTCCCTGTGCAGTGGATGAGGACCAGAGCTGTGAGGTGAATGGTCGACGGTACCAGGATGGAGAGACCTTCCAACCCACCTGCAGGGTCCTTTGCCGCTGTGAGGACGGTGGTTTCACCTGCCTGCCCCTGTGCAGTGAGGATGTGCGGCTGCCCAGCTGGAACTGTCCACGCCCCAGGAGGGTGGAGGTGCCCGGCAGGTGCTGTCCTGAGTGGGTGTGTGACGAGGGAGCGGCGCTGGGGATCCAGCCCTACTCAGCCCAAGGTGAGTGCCCAGCAGCCCTTGCCACAGGGGAAGGACCCCCAAGGCTGCTGGGAGTGGGGACAGGTCACAGAACTGTGCAGAGTGGAGAGTCAACAGGCCTCCTGCAAAATGAAAAACAAGACAACCACTTAGAGCTATAACTTCAAATTGCTAAAAACAAAATTCAGGTGGGAGAAGAAAGGAGAAGTAGAATTCTTGCAATACTTATATCTCACAGTAGGGGTATAATTAACATAACATAAATAATAAATACACTAGATTTACTATAGCATAGGATAATATGACATGATATAGCTATGCCTATAAACTATATAGAATACTTTAATACATATGAACAATCCATAATATTATGAATACATTATTATTTGTAATTATTTTTTCACCTTTTTGAGACAAGGTCTCCCCATAACCCCATCTGGCCTGGACTCGCTATGGAGACCAGGCTGGCCTTGATCTCACAGAGATCTGCCTGCCTCTGCCTCCAGAGTGCTGGGATTAAAGGTGTGCACCACCACGCCCAGCATCATTGTTTGCATTTAATAAAAGAAAACTAAAAACTGAGCCAGGACAGTGGCTGGAGTCTGGGACGTGGGCTAAGTCTGTGCAGAGATAGAGAAGAAGCTGCCCCTGTCTACGAACTTTTCCACATTGAGATTTTGTTCTGCTGCTTTAAGGGATGCTGTAGTGTTTCTAAGCCCAGTTCTGCCATGTGCCTGCTGTGTGACTCTGAGGAACTTGCTTAACTTTCCTGCCTTAGTTTCTCCAACTGTAAAATAGAATGAATAAGAACACCTCACTCACAGAATTGTGGTGAGGATGAAGTCTATCAGTGCAAATAAATGGGTTGTAATGGTGCCTAATGCAGCGTTCCATAAGTGTTATGTTTAGTAAATGGCTAGCATCCCTGTGCTGGAATATGACACAGCAGGTTAGGTACATAGGAGAAGCAAGGTCACCTTATGTATTCTTTCCTCCCCCTCCATCTTCCTCTTCTTCTTCTTTCTTCCTCTTCTTCTTCTTGTCCTGGGGATTGAACCTAGAGCCAGGCAAATGTTCTACCACTAAGCCATGTCCCCTAGCCCTCACCTTATATATTAAAAAGCAAGATAAAAATCTCTATCTCCCACCTAATCTCCACTACGTGTTCATATTCATGGCAGTGAACATACTTGCAGTTGGTCCTCTGCATCTGCAGGATCCGTAGCCATGGATCCAGCCAGCTGTTCATCATACGTATTCTTTAATTGTGTCTGTACTTGGGCTGGAGAGATGGCTCAGAAGTTAAGAGCTCTTGCTGCTCTTGCAGAGGACCCGAGTTTGGTTCCCAGCACCCATATGAGGTGGTTTACAACTGCTTGTAACTCTAGTTCCAGTGGATTTAACTCCTTCTTCTGGCCTCCATGGGCACCTGCACTCACACACACACACACACACACACACACACACACACACACACACACACACACACAGTTTTTAAAATAAAATAGATCTTTTAAGAAATTGAGTCTATTTTTACGAAACACATGTAGACTTTTTTTTTAATCTTGTGACTAGTCCCTAGCAAATATAGTTGTGAAACTATTCATTAACACTCATGTCGTTTTGACTATTATTAGTAATCATTTGAGTTCCCAGGAAGATGTGTGTGTGTGTGTGTTTTGTGCAAACACCTCACCATTTTATACAGGGACCCCAGCACCCTCACATCAGTATTCTTTTTTGTTTTGTTTTGTCTTATTTATTATTTTTATGTGTATGAGTGTATTTTGCGTGCATGTGTGTTAGCATACCTGTGTCATGCAATGCCCTTGGAGGTTAGAATCGGGTGTAGGAGCCCTGGAACAGGAGTTATGGACAGTTGTTAGCTGCCATGTGCCATGTAGGCACTAGGAATTGAACCTGGATCCTCTGCAAGAGCAGTCAGTGGCCTTAACCACCTAGCCATCTCTCCAGCCTCACATCTTAGTATTCTTGAGGGGTCCTTGATCCGACACCCCCCAACACAAAGAATGGCTGCATGTGCATACATGACACCTCTGTGTGCAAAGCAGGGTTGTCATCTGCACCAGTGACATTTGGGCTGTGGCTGAATAATTCTTTGTGGGTACATTGTGGGATATGGAGTAACATCCCGGCCTCTCCTTTCTAGATGTCAGTAGCATCTCCCCATACACACACACACACACACACACACAGACAACCAAAAATGTCACCAGACATTGCCAAGTGTCCCTTGGTTCTCAGGACTTGGAGGAAGGACACTAAAATATGAGAGGAGATTGGGAGGAGAGCAGGCCTTGGTAAGCCTGCCATCGGTTCAGGAAACAAACAGGTTAGACTCTTTAGCACCAGGGACACAGCACCAAGTCATATAGCTATGTCTCTAAGATGCCATGTACTGGAGGAGTGGGAGGACACAGGAAAGAGAAAGATGGCCCATGGTGGCCAGCAGGTTGGCTCACTTGGCTGCGGAGCCCCAACCTTTTGATGTTCAACCTTCCACTTTCTAACCCCTCAGGCCGCCAATATTTTGGTCCTGTTGCTCCCATGTCTGCCAATGTTCCCTGCCCAGAATGGAGTACAGCCTGGGGCCCCTGCTCAACCACCTGTGGGCTGGGTGTGGCCACCCGGGTGTCCAACCAGAACCGCTTCTGCCAACTGGAGACCCAGCACCGCCTGTGTCTGCCCAGACCCTGCCTGGCAGCTAGGGGCCGCAGTGTACCGAACAGAGCCGTCTAGAATCAGCTAGGGTTGGAGATATGGAACCTGCCATCGTGTCCCCAGCCGACATCTCTGAGCCTATGCCCTGGGCTGATGGCAGGTGGCTCTTGTCCAAGCCTTTAACTGTAGGCAACTGTCCCGCTTGGGTCCACCCACCAGGGCTACTGACCAGTTGCCTGCTCTGTCTGAGGTAGGCAGAGCACATGATTAGTCCCATTTCTCTAACTCAGCCTGGGAGTCTGCACAGGATTCTGGGTTCTCCTGGCTGGTTCTTTATCAAACATACACACGGGACAGCTTTCTCTCCAAGGTCCTCGGAAGGAGAAGAATCACCATTCCCTTTAGAGTTGAGCTGCAGTGGGGGCTGGGCAAGCCTGGCCACCATGTTGGGGCAAGTAAGCACAGCGGGTGCCAGGCAGCAGATTGTCTGAAACTCCAGATTCCCTTTGTGGACTTTTGTGCATTTGTCCCTGGAGTTACGACTAGGCGTGGACTTGCGGCTCTGGCCTTCCTGGTCTGAGAATTCAGTGGTGGGATTCTGTGTGAACGTCAGAGATCACACTGTCCTAAAGAATACCAGCAAGATCCTTGAACTTCACTCGTGTTCATAAGAACTCAGCTTTCATAAGTGTCCCCAGTGCTGGTGACCGGAGAGCCCCACACCTCACTCAGGCCAGGGCTCCTCAACTGGAGAAACACAAGGACGGCGAAGGGCCCTTTGGAGGGGACTGGACCAGCCTGGATTTAACACGCCACTCTGAGTGTGAGATTTTGTTTGTTGTCTTATGTTTCAGTGTTGAAAGAGAAACTAAAAATGAAATCTACATTCTCCTCCATGGTCTACTTGTGTTTGTTTAAAAATAAAAACAAGGTGGGGGGGGTGGGACTGGAGAGATGGCTCAGCAGTTAAGAGCACTGGCTGCTCTTACAGAGGACCTGGGTTAGTTCCCAGCACCCACATGTCGGCTAACAACAGTCCAGAACTCCAGTTCCAGGGGTTCTGACACCTTCTTCTGACCTCTGTGGGCATTGCACAACATGGGTGCACTTACACACATGCAGGCAAAATACCCATATATATAAAATAAAAATAAATAAATAAAAATGGGGTCCGGGGAGACAGATCAGTTGGTAAAGTGCCACAAAAGCGTGAGGACCTGAGATCAATCCCCAGAACCCATGTAAAAAAGCAGGTCATGATGGTGTACCCTTGAAATACCAAAACTGGGGAGTCAGACAGGAGGGTCCCTAGGGCTCCAAGGCAAGCCAGCCCAACCTATTGGTAATCTCCAGGCTAGTGAGAGACCCTACCTCAGAAAACATAGTGGGCACCTCCCGAGGAACAGCATCCACGTTTGACCTCCTGTTGCATAGGACTGTCCTCCACCAGGCAGACCATGAACAGATGCCATCTTCCCAAGCTTGGTTGCACCAGCTTGCCTAGGATCATCACAGCTAAATGTGTTGACTGTTATTCTCAGCAAGAAAAGAGGGAGACTCAACCACACCTCCAAACCAACCAGTCTGGTCCTAGTTGCATGAGGGAGAGGGGCTAAGGGTATATGAACTGAGGAAGCTGAGAGGAGAGTCTCTTGCCATTTTGTGTGGCTGTAGGGATGTCAGGATCCACCCCTGGATGGAAACCCTTCCAGTGTGGACATAGGAGAGGAGCACCCTCACTCCTGTAAGCAAATCCTCACTCATTGCTCTTTAAGTAAGCCCACTAAACTCAGTGGTTTCCCAGACTGCAGTTTGGTGAAATCAAACCTCAGTTTGTTCTAGGGACCAAGGTGGGGGGGTGTCATTTTCACCTTCCAGAAGGAATTTTAGCTACAACTACACACACAAATGTGCACACACAAATAATAAATAGATAAATATTTTGTAAATGGTGTTGTAGCAATCTCTAAACAGTGGTTTCTTCTTATGAAGCTTTGTTGAGGTATATCTAATTCACACACAGTTAAACACCCGGGTCATAAACTCATGGCTGAGTCTGTATGCCCTTGTGTGAACAATACCTCCATCCAGGTATGAAACAATCCATCAGCTCAGGAAGGTCCCCTTGCCTTCCCAGCTGTCCTTTTTTCCTGGTCAGATGACCTGTGCTCCAACTTCCATCATCATGGGTGTGAGTTTGCCTGTTCTTAAACTCTGCATAACTGGAACCCAGGCAGGCAGTCTCTTTAATGATGGATTTTTCTCACTCAACATAATAAAAAGAATAAATTTAATATAGGTACCCAGTGGAGAGGCCATACAGAGACCAGCACAAGAAAGTGAGTGGCGCCTCAGGGTGGCAGGGGCAGACTTGCCAAGCCCAAAGCTGGCCTGGCAGGCAGAAGAGAAGAACCTTATTCTGCAGGGCTGCTGGCTTCCCAGAGTCACCAAGCAGGGCGGGAGAGGGGCACTTGGGCCTCTGCCATTCTGCGTAAGTCAGAGAGTGATGGAAGGCCGGAGCCCTGTGTGTGAGGAGGCGGTGGTGTCGGATCGTCTGCCCTTCTTCCTCTCTGAGGCGTTCACAGCTGAGGTACCTGGTTTGGCTGTCCAAACCCAAGGAAAGTGCCTGTTCTTGCATCCTTGTGCTGGATCAGGGCTGCAGGGAAGCTGCGTGTCCTGGGCCCAGTGTTCTCCAGAGTCCTTCTCTGCCAGCTGTGGCTGAAGTGCCTGGACAGAGCCCATCCCTGGGGAACTGGGCACTCCATCCTTCTCCACACTGAGGGAGGAGGTAAAGATGAAGTTCCCTTAGTGAAGGGCAGAGAGATTCCTAGCCTGCCAGGAGGGCATGCCCTCTCTGTGTACAGCTGGGCTTTGCTGACCCCTGCCCTGGGTCCAGCACCTGGAAGGTATCTAAAAGAGCTGCCCCACTGGTGCCAGGCTGCTCACAACACCATCATCTAGTGAGTGCCTGCTGTATCCAGCTACACCGTGTCCATGATCTTATGAACTGTAAGGTACCTCTAGGAATGCCCATTCTACAGAGGAGAAACTGAGGCCAGAGGAACAGAATTACAGCTACCGCTAGAGCTGGAGCAAGTTAGAGGCGGCTAGACCAGGGACCTGCTTGATGGTTTGCTCTTTCTCTTCTCTCTCTGTCGCTCTTCTCCCTGTCTCTTTACCCTCTCTCTCCTCCTTCCCATCTTTTCTTCCTCTTTCCCTTCCTTTTCCTTCTTAATTTTCTTAAAAAGATTTTACTTTGTTTTTGTTTATGTGTACTGTGGGTGTCCGCATGCCATGGAGCACAGGCACCCCCAGAGGTCAGAGGACAACTTGTAAGAGTTCATTCTCTCCTTCCATCATGTGGGTCCCGAGGATCAAACTCGGGTCATCAGACTTGGCAGCAAATGCCTTTACCTGCGGGGCCATCTCCTTGCCTTTTTAGCTTTAAAAAAAAATTTTTGCGAATTTCATACAACATATTTTGATCAGATTAGATCCCCTCTCCTAGCTGTACCCCCTTACTATCCCTGCCCAATTTCATGATGATGATGATGATGATGTGTGTGTGTGTGTGCCTATAAAGTGAAATTTGTGTTCTCAAATGCCCTGTGGTGTGAGCCCATCCCCTGAGCCTGGCTAACCTACTAAGAATCTCACCTTTAAGGGAAGAATACAGATCATACAGGGTCAGTTTCTTCAGGAACAGCCGGCCTCTGCATCAGCACCTGGTCAGAGCAGAGTCCTGCACTTCCTGAGCCTCCCAGATCACCCTGAACCCCTGCATCACTGCCCAAGACAGTCACCTTCCTGGCTTCCAAGAGCACAGATTGCACTTGCTTTTGATTTAGATGAAATGATACAGCATGCCGTGTCTGTGCTAGGTGGCTTCTCCATCACCATCCTAGTGCCGAGTTTCATCCTTGTCATTAGGAGGAATGGTGGTCCATTCTTCCCATCATTATAGAGCATACCATTGTGTGGATAGACCGCATTTTATTCGCCATTCTACAGTGCTGGGCATCTGGGGATTCTCCAGGTGGGAGCTTCCGCAAACAGGGATTGTGGGCATCCTAGCATGTGTCTGGTGCTTTGTCTTATTAAACATTCTTTCTGGACATTTATCCAGGAGTAAAATTGCTATGTTTGGGTCTCTACAGTCTCTGCTGGGCCAGGTTCTCAGGTTCTCCCCTGGCGTAATAGAGGTGCTTGCACATAGTAGGTGCTAAGAGCTGATATTTATTGAGTTCTAACCATATGTCCGATCATCTTTGGAGTAGCGACTTGCTTGATCTTCACAAGAACCCTTTGAGGTAAGTATAAGTACGCCCATTTTACAGATGGGGAAACTGAGTAAAGGGGAATTCAGGAACTAGTCTCATCCAAGGTCAACCATTCAAAATTGAGGCAAGATCCAAAGCCTGCTCTGGAGTACAAGTGCTGACTGCAGCTACTGTGATGTTTAGGGAAAGTTATGCAGGTTAGATGGTGCTGTGGAACTGGAAAAAGAGGAGCAGATAAAGAACCAGCGTCCTGACCACAGTTGGTGAGGATGGATGCAAGAAAAAGGGGAAAGAAGATGCCAAGCATGCCTGGGCCTTCCATGGGGGATGGAGAATCATGGTCAGAAATCAGAGCCAGCAGAGGTGAGTCTTACTGGAAGGCAGAGAGGAGGGACTGTCCAGCGTGCTTTAACTGTGAGAAGACGGTAGTCACTCAGTCAGTGTGGCTGGAGGCGGCTGGAGCCGAGATGGGTCAGGCATGTCCACAGGAAGCAGACTCCTGTGACGTTGTGGGAGCTGAGCTGGGCGAGCTTAGGAGGAGGACAGATGTACAGCCTGGCCAAGGTGTTTTTTTCATGTGAATAGCAAAATTCCATGCATGTGTTTGTGTCACCCTCCTCCCATGCTCCTCTTCCCCAGGGACCTCATCCCTGTCCTGATGACCACAGCCATTGACAGCAGCTGATCCCCCCCCCCCCCCCCC